GTTATACTTCTTAAAAGACTTACAAATATTGTCTATTATACAATTGTTTAAAACTGTGCCAATAGGATCAGAAGGGAGAGATTTAACACATAGAGATAAATAGATACACAGATACAGAAATATTTAATTCAAAAAGTATTTAACTCATAATATGCACCAGCTCTCAGAAACAATTCAAGTTTTATATAACATTATTCTTCCTTTACTTTTACCCTTTTCCTAGAAGGAATTTACTGACTACTGGACAACTGGTCTATCATGAACTGCAGTACATTTCAGTGACAATAGACAAAATATTCTAATTCATTTGAAAACAATATCATGGAGCACACAGAACTGTTCAAAAAGCACACAGAACCTGTGCCAGCTCCTTTAAAAAGGGAAATTCCACTTATTTGATCTAAAGGCATTTCTTATCATTTAGGACTTTTACAATACAGAAAATTCGATACCACTTTTCTATAATTTCATACACAACTCACTGAGGTCAATTTCCATATTTTCCCAGTTTTAAATTAACAACCGCTAAAAACTTCTCCCTAGAAATATCTTTCATTATTGTCTGATATTTGGACATTTGTCCAATATATTTGTTTGCAAGTATTTATCTGGTGAGCGTTATATAGGAGGTATTTGTGCTCTACTTAATCAAGCCATGGAGATCTGTGCTACAGAATGTCAGCATGCAGTTAGTAGCATAACTATTAGATGTAAAGTTGGATTACTAAGGACAATTTATTTTCATATTTCCACTTCATACATTCTTTGTTATGTCACTAGGGATACACCACTAGAGACACAGATTTGATAAAACAACAATTATTAGATGCACATAAAGAACTGGTTTTATGCTACACTAATCCTGGGTAAATGAAATAATTCAGTACCACTCCTAAAATAATTTTTAAAAAGGATGATGTAATCGCTTTTTATATTTATATCTGGCAACAGTGAAAATGATTGAAAAAAAAATCTAATTCATACTATATCTGACAGTTCATATTGTAAAACTGAGATTACTTCCCATCTCATCTGTAACATCTCAATAGTAGAAGAGCTTGTTTTCAAGCAATATAGATAGGAAAGTGTATTCACCTATATATCTCTGTGTAAGTCACTAAGTTGTCTTGGTTCTGAGCAGCAATTTAATACACAAGTGATCAAAAAAACCCTAAAAAAACAAGTGTACACTCATTTTGTAAATCTATATACGTGGACTAGATCCTGAAAAAAAAATTCCAGATATTATTTTCTAGGAGTTTGTAACAACAGTACTCCGCTATTTAACTTCTTCTATAGAAGAAAACAATTTCCCACTTCTATGTGTAAATTTTTAGATAATGATTCGAGAGGTTTATCAGAACACTTAAAGTTAGGTCATTGAGACAAGCTGTTAAAAGAGCAAAAGTCAGAGAAAAATCAGCTGCTAAGGCCTTTGTCACTCAGAAAAATGAAGGACTTCTAACCAGCTGGGGAAATAATCATGGATACACAGAGACATGCACAAAGGTATGCACACATTATACTCATACATGCCAACACACACACACTATTTAGATCTATGGAAAACAAGGCAAAACTTTCTTGATTAATGAACCGTCTCAAAAAAACCCCCAGTATTTCTATTAAAGTTAATATGATGAATTTCAAGAAAAATAACAAAGCAATAGATCTATTAACTAATTTACCACCATAATTTGGACCCTAAGATGGCAAACCACTTTGATATGTTTCATTACAAGGACATTTATACTGCAGTGGGCAGGGGTGGGACTCCCCCTCACCCCCAACCATGTTCTCTGTTAGCAAGTGACTATATAAGCATTTCTGATGGAGAAAGACATAAGCTATCTGATCCAAGACACCAGCTCATATTTGATAAATTGAGCAGCAGTGAGAACTTGTGAATAATTTTGGAAGAGGAGAGGACTTCGTCTATTTATCATAGTAGTAAAGTCCCAGTAGCTAGGAAAGGTTTGAAGGAGAGTACTTTACACTCGCTCATCTACATTGTCAAGGGCTACAGAGTTTCTTCTGTATCCCTTAGTGCATTACCTCAAAACAACACAGGTTAACATATGTGTTCTCACCTAATGCTGCATAACGTCAGCTTCATCGATTTCTCATATATTCATACCTCAGGAAGGGGTAACAAATAAACAATAGGGGGAAATCATCTAAACAAACATTGCATGGCAGTATTGCATGTTACACACATGCAACAAGTGCTCTGCTTCTCTCTTCCATACACACACACTGAATATCCAGAGTGAAATCCAGAAGAAAGCTACCAACTAGAAAACTAGAGAAAAAATTCCAAGAATTATTACAAAAAACAAAATATCAAAGATTTCCTAACAAAGACCAAACAGTAAGTGCAAGAAAAAACTATGTGTGTTTATATATTTAATTTATATTCATACTGAACAAGTCAGGGGAAAAATCAGGAAGGAAATTACACTGTATTAGTAACACCTTCCTTGAAATGCTGTCATTGCATATAAAGGCTTCACACAAGCATTGGGACATACTTGAAATGAGTACTGAGGACACACTACTACTACTAGGACAATGATAGTGTTGTTATCCTCTCTGGGACCGGCTAAGGTCTTTGTCATTCCCATTGGTGCCAAACTACTCAAATAGGTCTTGAAACAAAAAGTGATAGTAAAAAACTTTCAATTAAATTTTATACATGTGCCCACAAGTTTGCTACTCCCTAGAAACAAATACAGGCATCATTGTCATTCATTTCTAAGCTTCTTAACCTTCTAAAGGAGCAGAGAACCTAAAAGTGAGGCACAAAACTATACAACGACTTAGATCTGGAAGGGGAAAAAAAATCATAACCGATGAAAAATGGAGGACAAATGGAAATTTCTCTTTAAGATAGCAAACATTAATTTTAGTGGACTTTCAGGGTTGATTCTCTTACTCTTTCAAAAAATACTGTGTGATATCTTTGAATTAAAAAATGTCTAATCTTATTTTATACCTAACCAAGAAAGAGCTATCTCTGAGAGCCTAAAACACCCTAGACCACTTCTCTCTAAAGACTCAAAAATAAGAAAATCGAGATCAACATTTTCAAAGGAAGATTCGGCTGCACAAGCCTGGGAAACATTCACTAGCAATTCAAATTCCCAGAAAACATTTTGATCTGGAGAAGATTCTCATTGATCAACAATTTCACTGGAAGAGTTCTAAAGGACTACTGTTTATGTTTGTATGTACAGTGTTTAGGCAACAATAAAAGCTGTAAAAAATCAGTACTGAAAGTGTACCTCACTGTGGCACTCAGTACCTAATAAATGGTTCCTTTCTCAGTATATTAAGAAACAACAATTCATCCATTCCCCACGAATGTGAAGGAAGTTATTTATAATGGAGAGGAGACAGCAGTAACTGATATGATTGTTCAGAGCAAGAAGTAGCTGGGACTTCTAAGACAGAAATCTAGTCCATTTTTTTTTCTCTGTACAAGATTTCTTAACACTAAGTAGAAGGAACACTTCTGCATAGCCTCACTTTTACTATTTCCATTTTAACCCACACCTCTACTTAGCATTTTATTTTAACCATTGGAAAGAAGTGCAATAGTTATTCTAGCACGAGAGTGGATCACAGCAGCAGAAATTGCCATCTCATGTAGCACACGCAGGCTACCTATGGAAAGGCAAAGCTCCTCACTTCATCACTGAGGATGACTGTCCAGTCAAGGAAACATCTTAGAAAGTGAAAAGATGAAGGATATTCATTTAAAGCTCCTGTCTTGGATTAAAGCACCTTCTCCTAAAGGCTGAGTTATCTGCTAAACTATGTAATACAGGTAGGTCTAGAAAGTGCAGTGGAGGGGACGGATGTCGAAAACCACTCTTCTTTGTCATTATCCATTCCCCATCCCCCTCCATGAAATTCTCCGACGCTTAAAAAGTGCTAATGACACTTTGTCACGCATAAACAATTTACAGCAGCAGCCATCACCACTCTCCAACCTTTATCTCACATACATAAATTATCCCAGCCTCCTACAAATCAACCTTGTAATTTCTTACTTTGGGAACTTAGCATGTTTTATTTTAGTAACTTATCCTTTAAAGTTCAATCGACTCTAGAGGAGACTGTTTCTAGAACATTATTTGGGATAAATGAAAAGTAAAGATAATATGGAAAGAGAATACACACATTAATAGCAGGTTTTTTCATGCTAGTTACACAACAACACAATCTTAGTCATGCAGGGTAAAAATACTGAGAGACACAAGATGACACATGAAAAGGATCTTATACTCTTCCCAAAAATTAATGCATGTACACTACTTGCCTAAAAGTCCAGATTAGTTGTCATACTAGATTTGTGTAAAGCTTTAGGAAAGAATGGTGTGAGGGCTCTCTACAGAAAATTACACTAAGTGAAGGCTATTTCGCTAATTAACACCCCTTCCAAAAAAAATGCTTATCTCCTTTTAAGATAAGATTCTTTTAAGTAAAGACCCCAAACATTTCCAGAGCCCTGACTTCAACATCTGTTGGTATTCCTTACACAGAAGTGTGCTTCTGTGTGCATGTTTATCAGAAGAGGTCGTCAAGGGCTTGCTAGGTTTATTCATCATTTTAAGGCACTCCTATTTGCAAAGCTTCTGTTAATGTCAGTGAAATCTAACCCAGACAGAAGTTTCAGAGGTCACATATTTGGCATGCTACATTTAGAAACCCAAGTACAAAGTTGACGAGGACGCTTCAAACACAGGGGATTACAGCGGAAATAGGTCTCCTTATACCAAACTGGCTATTGAGCAAATTCAAGGAAGAACACACCGAGACTGCCTGATGCTATTAAAGCTCATATTCTTGCTTTATTTTTTCCACCAACTAAATCAATTCTCCCATTTAGCAAAGCCCAGCACAGAAATAACACTTTATTTTTACTACAGCAGAAAAGAAATAGACATGAGACATAAAATCATGTACTACATGACATATAAAAAGCAGATACTTACAGTTCGTAGGAACTGTATTTCATCTTCCCCTCCTTCACCCCCTTCAGCCATGGCTCTTGAGGAGTCAGCTCTGCTGAGACTGATCGCCTCCACCGTCAGCTCACTGCGCTCTGTATCGCTCCTCTCCTATCAGTATTAGCATATAGCTAATCCACAGCCATATAGGGAGCTCAGCTAACTCCACTGCACTGCAGACTGTCAGTCAACCCCCTCACTGCCAGAGCCAACTGCGCTGCTTTTCCAGCTCATAGCAAGCAATTCTTTTCCTTTTCTCTCTAGCTTGGAGGCAAAACCCCCTACTGTTAAGCTATTGCAGGAAGCATTATATGCATCACTAGGTGTTGATTTTTTTTCCCCTCCAGATGCTGTCTGGTCAAAACAGCAATAATGGTGAAGTGTTAATGAAAGCAGAGCTTGTGCTTCCATTTTCACAGATCAAGGTTCCCAATTTTGCACTGATATGTATCAAATTCAGCAACTCTGAACCTACTAATTATGTAGCAGAAGGATGTAACTCTGGTGATCACAGGACAAGCTGATTTTGACAGCAGGTATTTTCAGCTTGTTTACAATAATTTCCATTTCTTGCTTCTCTGCATAAGCAGCTGCAAATCTGATTTCCATCTGATCTGAACCGTGTGTAGTTATTTGTGCTATCCTTTTACATGGTATTTATAACTATATCCTAAGGACTTGAAGGGTTTTATCTGTACCTTTTCAGGACTGCACCTGAATATGTATAGAGGATGGTACATATTTACTTCACAGCCCATAAAACACAGTTAAAATAAAACTTAAAATAACCTTAAGTTTTAGTTCAATAATGAATAAATTTGTAATTGATGAAAATTGTTATTTATTACTTCAATATGAGCAAATGACCAAGGAAAAAGCAGATCAACTGTAGAACAAAATTTAATTAAGTGAAGGGAGGAAAACAGAAAGGACACAAGGAAACAGAAGAAAGCACTGAGGAGGCTTAGCCAGCCAATTTACTATATGATCTTGAATTTTGTGGTAAGGTTGCAACCACAGCCTACCCATGCATTCCACCCCTGAGAAGCATTACCCAAACTTTGTGCAATCCGTATTTACATTGATACATTCCCTCACAGACTACCATATGTATACATCTTTTTTCTCAATAAGAGCATATTTATGTTTTACAAATGAAAAACATAGGCGTGAGGGTAAGGGAGGAATAATTTTCTTGGGGTCACAAGGACAAGTGTAGCACACTGAAAACTGAAACTATATACTCTGTGCCCACATGCAAATACATTTATACACAACTGTCCTCTGGACATGGAAGCCAATGCACTATGCCTTTCCACCCCCACCTCCCTACCCTCCACCACCAAAATTACTAGTATTCTGATTTTGCAGTAATTAAAGTAAACATAGTCACAAGCCAAACTATGAGATGCCCAAAAGTTTCTCTCCTTGATGGGCAAAATGCTTTGAAAAATGTTTTATTTTACTCTCTCTTATTACTCTGAGAAACTCTGTCCAAAAAATAATGACAATCCCATTACTCAGCAACAGGCAACTTCAGGTCAAAAGCAACGCAGAAGCCTCTAGCTGACATAGTCATACAGGCTCTCCTTTCAATTTGTCCATTCCCCTTCCCCCATCCCGTAGTTTTGGTTGGATGCTGTGAAGAAGAAAAAGAGCTTTGTGCAAGACAAAGGCGATGTGGTAGAAAATTATTTCTCTGAAGTGCCAGAAAACTGATGTGGTTGGTATTTGAGCATCCATTTTTGTGTTTGGCTTTTGTGGTGTTCATCTTGAACTACTGCCATCTTTAGATGAAAGCTTTATCTCTTTCCTCATCAATACAAAGAATATAGCCTAACAGATCTTCCTGACAGAATATTGTTATTCCAGAGGAAAAAGTATAATCAGAGGAGTGAGGAAAATTTGCCTAAAGAAAAAGCATGCCACTCAGTATTTTTACTAAGAAACAGATAAGATAGAGAGGCCTACTATGATACATGTTTATCCATACCTTTATATTCTTTACTATTCTACATTCTAGTGGAAGGTGTCCTTGACCAGGGAAGGGGCAAAGAGGAGAGGGAGGGTGTTGGAACTACGTGATATTTAAGGATCTTTCCAACCCAAGTCATTGTATGATTCTATTATATTCACAGTGGATTTGACACAGATATTTCATGGCAAAATCTACGCATGTAAGGACCATTTTATACATGTTACGACAGCTTTACTGTAAATGAAACAACCTTTCAATCATACTACTTTACTTTGAAAGATTATACCTGAAAACCTGAGAAAATAAGCACAAGATTCATGGAAACTATGAGTGTTTATTTCCTTCACAAATAGAAATCAACGTCATGCAATACATTGCTGGTCAAATTTTTTTAAGTTATGCAGTGAGATTTCTGGATAGCAACTTCTGAACATGCAAAGCTGAGGTGAATCTACCTGAATCAAATTAGAAGAGGGAAAAATATAACCTTTCAAATGTTTTCCTCAGATATTGGAGTTTCCATTAAAATGCTCCTTATTAAACTGAGAAAATTCAGAGTAAAATACTAAATTTATATCAGTTAATATAGATAGCTATAGTTATCTATGTCTGCAACTCCTAATAAGGCAGATATAGAGGTTACCTTCTTTTTTTTTAAACAGACATCAACATGCTGGGATCTCACTTTGCATTTTTTTAAACAACAGACAAAGCATACGGAAAGGGGAATATTGGGAACACCTCAAGCATTATAGCAGAGATTAAGTAAGATATCCAAAATTCTGATTCATGTCAAACCAGTAGGCATGTTTTTCTGTTTGTAAGTCCCTCTATTGTTTGATACTCAGCTTTACAAAGTAGCCTGTGCATTGTTTTAGGAAACAATTTCCTGCCATAATAGGCAAAATATTTTGTTTAGATTTCCTCTTTTTAAAATTAAGTTTAATGCAAAACCATTTCATAGCACTTCTATTCCTTGGAGTATTGTTCTGCTTGGTGTTACGCCTGCATATTTAAGGAGAAAAGTATTGAGCTGCTACAGCATAATGAAATGTACATCTCCTCAAAACTTAGTTTTTTTCCAAGGACTTCCCCATTGCTCCAAGACTGTGATTTGGCTGTTTATGGTACCACACAGAAGTCGCATTTAGATGATGTATAATGCCTTGCATTTCTGATTTCTTAATACTAACTTGTTTTTTAAAAAATATGTTTCTAAAACCCCAAAATTTACTGAAGCTATGATTGAAAGAATATGACATCAGGTAACTACAGTAAAACAATCCAAAATGATCATATATTGCACACACTGTATATATGTGTGTATATATATACACACATATGCAGTCACTCTGCTTTACTGGAGATGACTGTGGGGTGCAACATCTGAATTTGGACCACAGTGTGTTTTATGATATCTTATTCATCCCAATCAAATCTAAATCTGTAATTTAGGTCTTTTGCTGCTGACCACATTCTGGACAGAGTCCATGGCATTTTAGAGCTATCAAAAGAATTTGTCTACAAAACAAATTTAAGGAAAACTTCCTTTCAGTTTTCAGCCCAAACATGCTGCCTGCTTATTCTTCAACATAAGCTCTTCCCTCTTACTAAGGGATTCAGGCTGACTCACTCTTCACATGAGTTCTTGATTCTACATTAGCTTTTGGCAGACCTTCACGGCTGCTGCCACCAAACAATAACTCAGAATTTTTGTAGGGGCAGTAGCCTGGCAATAATGTAGTAACATGGACTTTACAAAAGAAAATAAACAGTCATCCTGTTGTAATAAATGGATATCTGAAATGTAAACAACTTTTTGTTGTGTGTATTTTACCTTTCTAAGGTTAACTCAACACCCCTAATCAAAGATGAATCAAATACCTAGTAGAAGATATTTACAAGACATGCACACTCATATTTTCAAAAGCACAGGTAATACCAGTTACTTAAGTGTATGTTGGGTGAGGAGTCCAAATTATATTCTCCATCAATAATTACAGGCCTTAGTTCTAAAATTTAGATGCTGCTTAAAAGACTGACATGTCTCTGCATTCTTTAAGTGCCTCTTAAGTACATAAATATGCAAAAATACAGGTTTTAAAATGCGATTAAAAGAAACAAATTGTTTTCTTTACAAAAACTTCACAAAAGTATTCAAATTCATTATGTTGGCTTTTTTTTAGCAGTGAGCTCCTTGTTCAGTTCACAAACATTAGGCATTTAAAACGGGTGAATATTTCATTCACAGAAAACTACTTCTGTGAATATGCAATGATCAAGCTTTTTGTTCACTTTTGGGGGTGGTTTTTTTGTTGCTTTTGTTTTGTTTTGCTATTTGGGTTTTTCTGATTTTTTTTACTTATTTATTCTAGAGGAATTGCATTACATTTTACTGTGGAAAATGTAGGATCTTGGTCAAATTGAGGAAAACCTTCATCGGAAGACTACCAGTTTGAGAATTTAGAGAGAGAATGGTTTTATTAATTTACACATATTTCCAAACTTCATCTACATTTTTTTCTGTCCTTTTAAAAATTTCTTTTTTTGGATTTTACTGCTTTGTTATACATCACAAAGTTTTATTTTGTTTTTAAAAGTTGAGGCAATCTTTGATGCAACTCTTTATGAATTTAGAAAGTATAAAGTGTGTTATATAATATTACAGAATCCATAGCACAGTATCAGTACTGCTTGTAAGGCCTAATTCAGTGACTTTTCAAGCAAATTCAGCACTATTTAATTCAAAATGAGGAAAGGACATAGAACAGATGCTGAAAAACTTGTTCTTCACCAATGATCAAAAGATTATGTTAGATTGCCATCTGCTGGTATCAGGTTAAAAAGAGTCTGTGTCTAGGTAGGCATAATCATTCAACATTATTTTAACCAAAGTCATTGGGAATCGGGAATCTCATTTCCAATTTTATTATAGACTATGCAGCACATTTTTTACTACAGTCTACGCTATGTACTCTGATACTGCACCTTCTTAAGTTTTCTCAAAAAGAAAACAAAACAAAACAAAATCCACAAAGAAAAAGTATGCTCAAAAGTTTTTTCCTAAACCTAACATGTCAGTACCTCAATAGGACTTTCTCTTGTTTCCAAAAACACATTTACTCCAATCCC